GAGCGGGTGGTACGCCTACCACAAGTTATGAGAAATGGGATCGGGTTGCACGCCTGCAACAAGATGAGCTGAACATGAAAATTGTCTTTATTTCTTATTTCCGTGTTAGAAGCTAGACTGTAGATTTCTCCTCTATTATTCCTGATATTCTATATATATCTGTTATTCCTGAAGCATGTCCCTTCCCCCCGTTTTAATTGTTTATTTCTGTTGCCTCTTCGTTGTATTGTATATATATATCTGCACAGGTTTATCTGGAGTCTGGTCCTAGCCTCGTCACTACCTCGCCGGGGTTAGGCCAGGCACTTACCAGCACATGGGGTCGGTTGTGCTGATGTACACTCTGTGCTCTTTTGCACAGATCCAGGTGTCGGAGCAGCTTACGGTGCACAACAGTATCCAGGGAGCAGTCCTTCTGTCCATGAGATCCCGAGGTAGTCCTGCAGGCGTCCGCAGGCTCGTCATCTCTTTTATCCCCTTTTCTGCTCTATTTCCCTTGTACCGAGACAGAGTTTCATTATTTTGTTTCACACTTTGTATTTAGCATTCTTAGATGGTCCGTGAAGTGTTGTGACACCAGGTGCTGGGTAGAGACTCATATTGATGTTTAGACACTGTTGCTATATTTTCAGTTCAGATTTCCGCTATCTTTTATTAATCACAGTATTTTAAATGCTTATTCATCTTTAATTCAAATTGTTTAATCATGGATAAAATGAGTTAGGATGATGTTTGCGACTGTTCTTGGCTTGCCTATCTTCCACGAGTAGGCGCCATCACGACTCCCGAGGGTGGGGATTTCGGGTCGTGACAGTTCTTTACGAATTCTCTTACATAATTTATTCTTATTAATTAATAGACCAACTAAAATTGGGATTGAATCCCATGAATACTGGAAATATCAAAGGTGAATATGGGCACATTCACCTGCCATGTATACCACATAAGATGCATCTATGAGATAGTTACATGTGAGATTATTATTAACCCGCAACCTGGTATTTGCGAGGTAACTTGCTCAATAATTTAATTTAGAGCATAATTTTCATATTTTCTGTTCAAGATAGTTATCTTGATAAGTTGGTTTAGATCACAAATGGTTTAGCAAGATGATTTATTGAGTGCCTCTACTTAATATCTAAACTATCTCTTATGAGAACAAAATTATATATATCAGTTTGATATATGTTATATACGAAAGTATATTATATTCTCCCCTCACAAGTGGTTTCAGGGTCAGGAACCAAATAATTTCATCTCATTATTATTGATGTGCGGTGTATATTTTGATTAACATCATAACGCACAAAGATGGATTTTCAAAATTGAGGAAGCAAGTTAGTTTTTCTAACATGAGGGGGAGACAAGATAAATAGTTGAGAAAAGGTTACGTGGAATGAATTATCATTTGTACATCTAGATCCTCGAATAAGATAATATGAACTTGAAGTTCATAAAAAAGATAATTCATTTGCAATATATTGCAAAGCATGCCAGACGCATTTGCTGACCCAAAGAAAGTAACTGTATTCTCGTTGCAAATTCTCCTAGTAAGTCCTAGAAGGACAAAGTCTATGGTACGCTTAAAGCGTATGGACAAATCGGTTTCAAATAAACTTCTTGATAAAGAAGATGAGCAAATGATCAAAATAATCATAATAAAGAGGCAAGTGATCTAGGAGATACATGACATAACACTTCATAAAATCTCATTAAAGATTCAGGTACCTGAATATATGAATGAAGAGATCTCTATGCTCTGTCTTTATGAAAAATAAGGAGGTTGGAACCGATATAAAATTTTTGTCGATGACATCTATGATAGCGCTAAATATATATGAGGATCTTAAGTATGGAGAAACAATTTCGAATAGAATTGGTTTCATATGAAAGACATGTAGTTCAAACACTTGAAAGTATAAAGTCAATGGTATGTGCAATCAGTTTTCGCTATCTTATATGTCTAGCATGACATGAAAACTTGATATGCATCTAAAGTCTACTATATGGCTTATATGACTTAACTTATATGACAATCCATGAAGGAACTAAGTTGCGTGAAGCATATACAATTCTTGATCTTGAAGTACCACTTCCTCATTGCAATTTGTGCACAAATGTATCTTGCTATAATTATAGGCATGATAATATGATACAAGAGTTTTCACCTTTATGTGAAGATATTGCATTGACGATTCCAACAAGATCATATGAAGACAATACATCTATTAGGGATGATGATTTCAAGTTAAAACAAATTCGTTCAAGTTAATATGGCTGATTTGTTTATCAAATCTCTACCAAAGATCTTTTGAAGATGGTGCACAAGATTGGAATGCAAATGCTTAAGGATGTGAATTGATGCTCTCATCAGGGGGAGTTAATACGTGTTGTACTCTTTTTTCCTTACAAGGTTTTGTCCCACAGGTTTTCCTTGCAAGATTTTTAACGAGGCAACCAAAAGACGTATTGTTAGATATGTGTACTCTTTTTCCTTCTCTAGAATTTTTTTCCCACTGGGTTTTATTTTAGTTAAGGTTTTAACGAGGCACATTATCTGTTGAATAGACATTCAAGGGGGAGTGTTATAAATAGAATTCTATTTAAGGTGAATGTCTATATTCTAGAGAGATTCTATGGTTTGTTACTTGGTGGCTAAGTCACTTTTCCCCTATAAATAGAGGGTTCTATTCCATTCTAATTCATCCCATATCAATAAGAATTCTCTCTTTCTCTCTCTCTCTCTCTCTCTCTCTCTCTCTCTCTCTCTCTACTTTTCTCTGTAATACTCGTCTTCTTCTTTTATTATTTTATAACAATTAGTATCATTTGGGCAATCACTTAAGGGCCCGTTTGGCCATAAATTTTTTTTCACTTCTTTTTGGAATTTTTTTTTACTTTTTTCGGAATCAATGTTTGGTCATGAAAATTTCAAATTTCACTTGAAGTAGAATTTCGGAAATTTGAAAAATTCTAAAAAGTTATTTTTCAAAATTTACTTCAAATCATTCACAAAAATTTAAAAATAGTCCAAATTGTATTCATGTTCAAACACAATTTTTCTTTCAAATACTACTTTCACCTTTTCCTGAAATATTACAATTTTTATGTCCAAACGCCTACTTAGTTGTGACCTGTTCAATTGAGATTTGGCCCCCACCGGCCACCTCTTAGGAATCAATCTATATTTTGTCAATCATTTTCGTCTTTGGAATCAATGTATAGTTTCAAACGGATAGAAAAGTTCTATATTTATTTCTTAATCATATAATAAATTCTAATTTGTTTGGGATTGAAACCCAATTATTGTTGTTATACTTGGACAGATCTATTAAAAATTGGACCCGGGCCCAATCACCAACGATATATAGCGACCACAAGAGAAGCCCAGCCTTCTTCTCATTCATTAATTAACGGGTCATATTACATGGGCCTATTTGGTCTTCCTACATTCTCAATCCTAATTAAGTACTAATTAAATCACAGATGCTTCAGCTCTTCTTTATTTACTGTTCCTAAGTTCACTATTCTCTCTTCTCTTCCTCAAATTTTGAGAAGAAAATTCAACAAAAAAAAAATAATTTTTTTTCTTCAGAAGAAATATAACTTTTTGATGAATTCTGATCAACAACCTACACATTACTAATGGTTGATAATCAGGAATTACCAGAAGCAGCACAATGTGACAGTATGATCAAGGGCGGCTCTATAAAATTAGTGGCCTAAAGCCAAATTTTAATAAGAGGCCTTACACTTTTTTTATTAGTATGTATACTCACATATATGCAAAAAAAATTAATCTTGCCATTTTTTTCATACTTGTTGTTTATAGTATATATTCTTAAATGGCATAAAGTCTTTAATTTAACATAGTAATATTATTATTTATATTAGAAAAAAAAAATTGGAATAAATGAGATGTTAGACATGTATTTGCAATATGTTACCTTTGATATTGTTGTAAAAAATATATTTACTAATATGAAGATTCAAGTAGTTTAATTCAAAGTTTTAAAAATATTTTTATTGTTTAAGAGTAGACACCTTTCTTTCTTTTTTACAATTTTTTTTGTACTTTTTTATTTTTCCTACAAATATTAATATTATCTAATTTGAAACAAAATTATAATCCATTATTAAAAATTTTGGGGGACCTAAATCAAGGCTTTACTAGTCTCCTACTAGAGCCACTTATCCACCCCTGACATTCTCAATCAAACTTATAGAGTCTCACTTAAGATAAGACAACAATGACAAGAGCATTAAAGGCAGTGAGTGTGTCATTTAGTTACCAAATATGAATGAAGCTGATTGAACAATACGTTTATGGTGGGGCAGTAGTCTGCAAAATAATTGTTGATTGTCAATGGGGGGCGGCTCAACAGAACTGGTGGCCTAAACTAAAATATATTAAAAAGACCCTGAAACGTCTTTTATAAAATCCATATAATATTGAGACACAAAAAAACTTACATGACTTTGATATAGTGGTGAGAGCGCAACTCATGATATATGAGTTAGGCGCGCGTCATATGGTATCGAATTCTCTCCTTAAGTGAAAATGGTGAAGGGTGAGCCATCAGTCATCATGTTTTGAACCTTGCCATATTTGCCTCGGGGATTTCTTAGTTAAAAAAGATGAGACACAAAAGAACTTGCTTTCTGGTGTGTGGATCAATCAAATGTGACAAAAAGGAATAGTTAATTTAGAGAATTTGAGTTGAAATTAGAAAGTAAAATCGTAAGAACCATGAAAAAGACTATACATAAAGAAAGAAAAATAAAATTAATGAGAAGGTAAACATATTATTTAATTTAGTGAAAAAAATTTATCCAATTAATTCACTTAATCTTACGTCTACCATATATAAAAAATTATTAAAATTCGAAATCTTTTATTAATAATTATATAAATATAAATTATGGTATATATATTATATTATAATATAACAGTGCTTCTTATTTTTGGGGCCTTAGTTATTAGGGGGCCTAAGGCAAAAGCTTCAGTTGCTTTACCCTAGAGCCGCCCTCGAGTATGATCACGGCAAAAGAAAGAGAAGTTGCAGAAATTCTGTTAAACTTACCGGAGCTTATAGCAAAATTAAGTCTTTATGGTAAAGAACAACTTCTTCCTTGGGGCTGGAAAAAACGGAGATCCGCCGTTAATTATCCTTTGACTCCATTACCGTCCCCAGAACTTCAACAATCACCACCCGCAGCTGACTTCTCTCCCTCTCCCTCTCCGTCTCCGTCTCCGTCACCGACAACGTCACCGTCATCCTCTTCACCTCCAGAACCGCAGAGATTCAAGCCAAGAGTTGCCAACACTAAGGTTAACGCCGTTAAACTCAACTTAGTTCACCATGCTAGCTTAGCTGATGCCCATGCTAATGCTCTTGTGGAATTATTTTATGTCCAACTAAAATTAGGAAAAAAGGTCTAAATTACTCTTTTACCCTACTAAATTTGTTAATTTTATTTTCTGTTACTCTTAGCAAATTGTTTCATATGTATCATTGCCTTTCACGAAATTCTAACGTGAATTAGATGAATTCCACATGTTAAAATTCTTTGAAAAAATTAAAATTCCAGATTTATCATCCGTTATACTTCATATTGGAGCTCCGTAAAGGTCAGGGGCAAATAAATTTGCTAATGAAGGATATGAATGACCTCAAAATACAACAGAAAGTAAAATTTTAAATATTATTTCTTGTAGTAAGGATTATTTTTTGATTATTTTCCCTAAAACTAATCACTTTGTATATCCAACAACTCAATAGAATAGTTTAATTTGGTGGTTGTTAAATTCCTCCATAGACATGGGGAGGTATTTTTCCTACTTTTTCGGTGTCCGAATTTGAGGTTTATTCTTAGTATCTTTTTATTTATTTACTAGATGATTAGTCTTTTTATCTGACTTAATTAGTTTGTGTTATTTTATGTAGGAGCAGTTGCTGCAGCAAATTAATGAGTTAACACAGCGGAAAAATGTTTATCAACAGGTTGCGGTTAATTTTCCTATTCTCAATTTAAGCTTTCTTTCTATATTGCTTTCAATTTTCTTAAATTTGATTCAACATCTCAATATTATACTACACCTATTTGTTAAGTATTATATTAATATATTCATATCAATATTGAAACAGGAGTTGTTCAAGGTCCAGAGTCACCTAGAGAGGCAAATAGAATTCAATACCACTTTGAAAGAGTTAACTGGAGCAACAACTTTGGCATATAGAGATTAGTAATCATCAGAGTATATTACATAATACTTAATATATATCTCTAACTTATTATCATTGTAATCCTGAGTTTGTGTTGATTTGATACATGAAACAGGTAATATAAAGCATTTGTCTTAATTAGCGATAGACTATTCTACATATATAAGTTAGTTTGGACATAGAGGTGGAGCCATTAGCCAGGATTTGAAGCCTGTGGGTTTAGAATTGTAATCCTTTTAAGTTACTGAGTTTTGTATATATTCAATAAATTTCTTAAGAAAAATACAGAATTTGAACAAAACTACTGGTTCGGCAGGACCCGTATCTCACACTCTAGCTCCGCCCTTGGACTAGTAGTCATAATTTTGATGCAGTGATCAATATTCCAAGTTCTAAAGTTATTTACGATGTATTTGATGTTGCAGTGCATGGCTGATTCAAGGAATTAATTTGTGTCAATTATCCACATTGAAATCTCTCTATCGGCCTCATGTATATATATACTAATGCCTAAAGAGCAAGCGAGTTGAATGTATTTACACGAACTAAATTAAATTCTTGGATTTATACTTTAGCTTTATCCAAAAAAGAGAAGCTTTTTTTAAGTATGTTATTGACAAAAATGATGATTTTTTAGAAAGTCATTTTTGTTCGCGAACAAATAAAGCTCAACTCCAGTTGAATAAAGAAGTTCTTCACGATCAAATATAACACGAGTTGTCAAAACAATGCTCATCAATTTACCACAATCTTATATTACTATTTTTCTTAGTGTTGTTAGCCGGTTTGGTATCGTCATACTTTATGAAATTCACATATGTAAAAGATGTACTCTATTACGTATCCTCTACAAGAATAAAATACGAACAATTTCATGTCCTTAATTATTTCATGGATAAACCACCATTTCATGCTAATAACCTTTTTGCTTGGCTGGCACTTACTCACATTAGAGTTTTTTTTGGTTTCCCACCCGGTGTCCGGTACCTACATTGGAGCCCGATTATATCCGGATTTACGTAAAAATTGCACAGGACGCCCTATTTGGTCGCCCCCATTTAACCTATACCCATTTTTTCTTAAAACTTTTAACTTGTACCCACTTCTTAAATAACTTCAGCCCCCTTTCTCCTCCTCCTTCTCCGTCACCATCACCTGCCCCTTTCTCCTCCTCCTTCTCCATCACCAACACCGGACTAGAGAGAAAAAGGTCACTATCTCAATTATTGAATAAACATTGACTTCAACGTATCAGAAACTCAAAATTCTCCTACAAACTCACTTACAATACCTCCTTCAGTAAGATCCTCCGAATCAGCTGACTCATTAAAACCAACATGGCCTAAAAAAGCAAATGAGCTTATATCAAGAAAGGGTGGCTCATCTTCAAATAACTCAAATTTAACAGCTGATTATCTCGAGGAATTCAATAAATGAAATGCAATTCAAGAAGAAAAGAGACAAAGACGACGGTGACACAGAAATGCTTCGTAACGCTTGCTCATGTGTTCAACGATGACGTCGATAATGAAAATGGTGTTGCTGCCACAAGAACAATGTACTTCAGCTCTAGAGCTGAGAGCTGAAGTTCGCCATTTACAAACAAAGCTGAAGTTCGTCAGTTACAAACAAAAACTTCAGCTCTAGAGCTGAACAGTTACAAAACAAAAACTTCAGCTCTAGAGCTGAACTTCAGGCCCGTCTACTAGAATGCTGAAGTTTTGCGTGATTGCCTTTGCTACTTCAGCCTCGTATGCTGAAGTTATGCGAAAAAGCGGGTACGCTTGCAATTTTTTTGCAAAGCAGGCACAAGTTAAAACGTGACACAAAAAGCAGGTATAGATGCAAATGCCCCCGGATTTACGCCGTATAGGGCCCCATTCGGGGGTAGCGCTCCCTGTTAGCAAACTGTATTTGTAAAATAATTCTGGAAAATATAAATTAACATAAACAGAAATGAAAAACAGAAACAGAATTTTAATCCGAGCCCACTGAATTCACAGTGTTTCCTTAAGGAATTTAATCCCCTCCTAGTACCCAAGGTTGTGGATTATTTCCTCCCAGGATAGAACGAATTACACACTGGTGTAGTGGTACTTCAAACCCCAGTGTTTCAGCGAACACAAAGTTCGGTAGCAAATCACTTATTGTTGCTTTGTTTGATGTTAAAAGTATGCAGAAGAAGGAGGAGAAACTCAGAAAATCGTATGAAAATTCTGAGCAGAATAGACTTGTATTTATAGCCAAAGTTGGGCTGAAATCTGAAGAGGTGCAACTCTTCAGAATGACTGTTTATGCAAAATGGCCATAGCATAATGCCATAACATAAATGGCTATTTACTCAACAATAAAGAGGGAAAATTGAAGGGTAGTTAATTTTCTGTTACAAAAATAAAAACAGAAAACTGGATAACTGAATTGGATTTAATATTAATATTTTGTTATTAAACCAAATATTTAATAACATTTCAATTAATATTTACTATTAACAAATAAATTTGGTCCAAAAATTAATCAATCGATAATACGAATCTGAATCCGAGCCGAGCGACGACGACGGCGACGGCGCGGGGCTTGCCTTCTTCTCTACTCTTTATGAGCTAGAAGAAGAGCAATTGCTTATATACCCATCAAAAACCTTTTCCTCTTCCCATATGGGACAATCAAGGAGGGAAACTCAAATATTACTCAATTATTTCATTTTTCCCTCCATTTCCCATTCACCCCATTTTAAGCATGAATAGCTTAAAAACCCAAAACTCCCTACCAAGGATTTTTCTATACCCAAGGCTCGAACCCGAGACCTCTGGTTAAGGGAGGAGCAACCCCATCCAATGCACCACATGCTTTGGTGGTCTCACGTTAGAGTTTTATGCTCTCTCAAAATGCATACCGGAGTTTATTGGAATCCGAACGTGAACTCTAGTATTTATTCAACTTCTGTTTTTTCCCCCTAAACTGCAACAATTTTATATGGACTTTGAATTGATATAACTCATACTTCCAGCATTTTTTCCTTGAACATTTTAGCATTTTTTTCCTGAAATCTAACATTTTTTTCTCATGGAGTTTGAATTATATAGTTCAAAGTCCAACATTTTATAAATTTAAACTGCATTAGTTCGAACTCCACCTTTTTTTCCTTCTGACTACCAGCATTGTCTTTGTTCACTCCAGTAAAAAAATTCTTAACTTCAGTATTTATTTAACCCTCTCCACCCCTCTCTCTCACACTCAGAACCTTAACTTTCCTCCATTAATTGTGTAAGAAATACCAATTAATTATCCTTGTAGCGGAAAGAAGAAGCTCTAATTTGGAGATATTTTTGCAGAACTATTTAAAAATGGCTAAATGTAAAATTAATTTTGGATATGTGGCTTATTTCAACTAGCAGTAAAATGGCTATTTGTGAATATCGTCCGAATGATTTGTGGCTCGAATTAGTTATGGTCTATGTGGCATACTGGCATCCAAAAAGGGATACATGAGTACATTTGTAAAATGTAACAGAAATTCTGCCAAAAGTATAAAAGAGATAAGAAAAGAAAAGTTTAAAATTAAATTAATTTAAAAAGTATAACGTGTTTAATGACAAAACCTTTAAAGATTGAACTCATAGAATTTAAATTTTAGAGTCGCCACTATATATCATCCTAGTGTGTGAACATAAGCAATATTATTGATATAGTCAACTCAATTAAAATCAAAGCAAAAGCTCCATTCAGTTGGAATAGCAACCAAAAACAAAGACTCTTTATCCCTTGTTGGACTATTTGCATGACATTGTGGTATCCATTACTAGTATATATCATTTATATGAAAAAGCCCTTTAAACCCTATTGAACCATGCCATTTAAAAGAGGGGTATTATCACTTTTAGCCCCTGTCAGAAACTATTTATATTTGGTAGCCAAAAAAGTGTATAAAATTTGTATAATTTTTGTATATAACATGCAGAATGTGTATGTATATAAAAAATATACAAATTTTATATATTTTTTCGGTTATTATTTTTACAGCGCCTATACAATATCATATTTCCTTTAAAAGAGGGAAAAAACATGCCCTTTAAAACTCCATATTTCCCCAAGTGATCAAGAGTAGAATCCTCCGTTTTGACTTTTGACTAAAATAAGGGAAAGGAGAATGTGAACTCCATATGCTTATAAATATAAAGTGTCTTTCTCTTCTAGTCTCAATTTCTTCTAATTCTAGCTCTAGCTTTTGATCCAGAAATATGCCATATAACATACTAACAATTTCCTTGTTCAATATGATATGCTACAATTCCTATTTCTTTCCAGCAAAAGGAATTACCATTTCAATCCATTCAATCTTTTCCTTACTAACTTCATTGCTTCTCAACTTTCTCCTATGGAAGTACCAAAACTAGGATTATACACAATTTGAAACACACCCCAAATCAATATATTGTGCCATAACTAGCTTTGTTGCTTATTTCATATTACATGACATAGAATCAAGGTTGTTTTCTCCGCAACGTCGTCGTCTTAGAAGCAATGTCTATTGCATGGGTCAAAATCTGATCAAGGGAACCTCGCCGAAATTAAGAAATCAATTAGGCCGAGGTTGTGCTTAAGAAGCAACACTGGTGAGCCGAGCATCCAATGCCGAGGTCGAGCACTCAGATCGGCCAAAACGGCTAGTTACAATAAGATATTTTAAAGGAATATTCAGAGGAATATTCTCTGTATTTGTACTTTCTGTAGGTAAGGGGTATGTCCCATATAAGTAGGAATAGAAAGAGAAAGAACGGGCATCTAATATTGGATCTTGATAAGCTCTCTCTAGAAAGGTTGACTCTCAAGTAACTACAAACATTATCTTTACCTAAGATTCGATTTGTTGTTCTGTCCAAGCTTTCCCACATCAGATTCCATAAAGTATTTGATATTCTTACGTTTGGTTATCTTACATCATTGTCAGAGAGAGAATCATCCACCTCGTTATACATTTGGGGAATTATTCTCTCTATTTACATTTATTGTCATTTATCATATTTATTGCTTGTCCTTATCCCCTCATTCATTCACAACAATATCAAACGAGGTTCATGACTCATTTTCGCCATACCCGCCACCAACTCGATCTTCCCGTGTAGTAAGATCCAGGGTCGGATCTATAGTTTTTAATATGATCTAAATTTCAATTCTATTTTAGCTTACGCTGTTTATACATACGTGAAAAATCATAAATATTGGAATTGTGAGCGCATGAT